TTCTGGGCCTCTGGCTGAACTCAGGCTGAGCTGAGAAGCCACTGCTTGGAAATGAGGAGCAAAAGAGGAGGCGGGAGCCCCCCCTCCCCAAGTCTGACTCCAGGCAGCTGCAGCTTCGTGCTGCCGGGGGTCTGGTAAAGCTCAGGGGGGCTGTAAATTTGCTTCTCCTTGGACTTCCAATCTGAGTCAGCTGCCAGGAGGAATCTGTGAAGCAGAGCCTGCCTCCACCCCGCCATCCTCCTGTCACACATGGACCTTTTCAAACCCTGCCTCAATGTCTGCCTGCTCAGGAAGGGCATGGAAGCTTCGAATGCCCCAGGATCCCAGGGAGCTGGATTGACCAGGGATGGCTTAGTGCCCCCTCTAGGCTGGCCCTTCTCCAAGCATGTAGTGGAGGGACCACCTAACGCAATCCACAGTTGGGTGGTGACCACAGAAAAGCAATATGCTGGGCGCTTGGTAGACACAAAGTGCATGAGACCTTCCATACGCAGCTCTTCACTCTCTTTGATGATCAGAGCACCTGCACTGCATGACTCCAGATGGCACCATTCCCAACAGAGTCTCTGTGGACGCCGCCAGGAGTTGTGCAGTGCTCAACTTTGACAGCTGTCCATTGTAGCCCTGCCAGTGAGATGCCTAAGACATGTACATAAATGATGGCAGTGCTGGCGAAGGAGATGATTTCCTGCTGGGAGATCAGGATAGGCTTCATGGAGGAGGTGATGCACAGATTTGGGCTTTGAAGAAAAGGGGGAGATGGTGTGGGAGGGTAATCCAGGATGAGCCAAGGGCAGGAAGGCACAAACCATCTCCTGTGGTGGAGGGAGTGGGAGTGAGAAAAGTGGGAGAACAGGCTGGAATGTGAGGTGGATGGTGGACCTTGGAGGGTCTCGGTTCTGAGACAATAGGGAGCCATGGCGGGTTCCTGCTCAGGGAATTGGCATAAATGAGGCTGTTCAATGGGAAAGTTAATTGAGCAGCAGGGTTAGGGATTAACTGGAGGTGTCAGTGAGGAGACTCTCTGCAGCGGTCCTGAGCCTGGGGGTCAGCATCATGCTGGAAGATGAAGAGCAGGCAGATGGTAGGGGTGGAGGGCACTGGGCAGGGGCATGGTGGGCATTGAACGGGGAGCCCCAAAGCGTTTCTTGTTTTCTTCCTGTTCCTCAAGGACAGATGAATGGACCCTGCTGTGTGCAGTATCCAAGAGGCTCTGGGCTCCAAACCAGCCTGTTCCCTCTTAGCAGAATTACTATGACTTCAGGCTAGGTGCAGTGGCTGATGCCTGTAGTCCCAGCACTATGGGAGGCCGAAGTGAGCAGATCACTTGAGATTGGCAGTTCGAGACCAGCCTGGCCAACATGGCGAAACCCTGTCTCTACTAAAAATACAAAAATTACCTGGGCGTGTTGACAGGCACCTGTAGTCCCAGGTACTCGGGAGGCTGAGGCAGCAGAATCACTTGAACCAGGGAGGTGGGGGTTGCAGTGAGCTAAGATCACAGCACGACTGCACTCCAGCCTGGGCAATAGAGTAAGACTCTATCTCAAAAAGAAAATTACTGTGGCTTCAGATTGGGTATGAGGCAGACCAAGAATCTCTCCTCCCTCCGAAGCTGCAATGACAAATCTTTCTCCAAAAGTCCCAGGGGACAAGGCAGTCACCACTCCTATCCAGCAGGTTCCAGCATTTAGAGGTTGGTGCCCCTGGCCATCTCCCTGTCCTCCTCTACTGCAGACAAGGATGTAGGGACCCCCGAGAAACTGTATGAGAGGAGGGGCACGCCCCTCAGCCCAAAAGGCTCCTCCTTCTCCAGCTGTGTTCATCCCACCCCCCAATCTGTCCCCTGCCCCCTCTTGATGGTTAGGTCAGGGCATTGACGCAGGAGTCAGGGGCCTGGGAGAGCAGAGGCTGGGGAAGGGGGCCAGCCAAGACAGAACGCACGTGTGGCTGTGTAAGGATGTGAGTGTGTATATGCACGTCCCAGGACTCTGGAAGAGAGCAGAACCAGGAGCCGAGTGGGGCCGTGGGAGCCTGGACAGCAGGTCTGGGAAGGCTCAAGGTGAGCTGCGGATACAGGGGAGCAGAGTCTGAGGGAATCGGGCCAGCCAGAAGCATACCAGCCTCTGTCTCCTGACCCGCACCCATCCATCTTGCCAAACTACTCTTATTTATTTATTTACTGACACAGGGTCTCCCTCTGTTGTCCAGTCTGAGTGTAGTGACATGATCATAGCTCACTGCAGCCTCGACCTCCTCGGCTCAAGGGATCCTCCTACCTCAGCCTCCTGAGTAGCTAGGACTACAGGTGTGCACCACCATGCCCAGCTAGTTAAAAAAAAATTATAGACATGGGATCTCACTATGTTGCCCAGACTTCTGGTCTCAAGCAATCCTCTTGCTTCAGCCTCCCAAAATGTTGGGATTACAGGTGTGAGCCACCACACCCAACCCACTACACCCTCATGGTCCCTCACTCCTGACAGGTCTTTATTCAAGTCACCTTCTTAGCCTGGTGTCTCTCACTACTTTATTTTAGCTACCGTTGCCTCTACCTTTTCTCCTTAGTTCTTCTGGCTGTTTGAAATCCTCTATCTTTTTTTTTTTTTTTTTGAGACAGGGTCTCACTCCTGTTGCCCAGACTGGAGTGCAGTGGCGGAACCCCAGCTCACTACAGCCTCAACTTCCTGGGCTCAAGTGATCCTCCCACCTCAGCCCCCCAAAGTGCTGGGATTACAGGCATGAGCCACCTCACCCGGCCGAAATCCTCTGTCTCGTACTCATTTTTGTGTTCATCACCAGCAACCCCACTAGAATATCAGCTCCACCAGGACAGGCATCCCTGGCTGAGTCATTCCGTGCTCTATCCTCAAGTCCTTGGCCAAGGGCAGATAGGAAATCTACAAATATCTTTTGAATGAATGAGTGAATGTTTCCCATTCTTTCTAAACAAAATCCAAATTCTTTAGAGTGGCATTCAAGGCCCTAGACATCCTGGCTCCTCCCTAACCAGCACCCTGGCCTCCTCATCCACCTCTCTCTTCTCCACTCTCCCTTCTGTACACCTGGCTCTCCATTTGCTTTGCCAAATCAACAGTCCCCCAGCCAACTCACACCTCTTCACATTGACGACCAACGCCCCCTTCAAGGCTGTCACCTCCTCCATCAAATCCTTCTTGATTTCTCCCAGCTAGCAGTGAGCTCTCCCTCTTCCAAACTCTTACAGCTCAGATCGGCACATTCCAATCTTTTTTTATTTTTATTTTTCGAGACAGAGTTTCACTCTTGTTGCCCAAGCTGGAGTGCAATGGCACAATCTTGTCTCACGACAATCTCTGCCTCTTGGGTTCAAGTGATTCTCCTGCCTCAGCCTCCCAAGTAGCTGAGATTACAGGCACCTGCCACCACACCTGGCTAATTTTTGCATTTTTAGTAGAGATGGGGTTTCACCATCTTGGCCAGGATAGTCTCAAATTCCTGACCTCATGATCCACCTGCCTCAGCCTCCCAAAGTGCTGGGATTATAGGCTTGAGGTGCTGTGCCAGGCCTCTTTTCTCATTTTTGAGACAGGGTCTCACTCTGTTGCCCAGGCTGCAGTGCAGTGGCATGATCATGATTCACTGCAGCCTCGACCTCCTGGGTTCAGGTTATCCTCCTGCCTTAGCCTCCTGAATATTTTGGACTACAGGTGTGAGCCACTACACCTGGCTAATTTTTGTTTTTTGTTTTCATTTTTTGGTAGAGATGAGGTCTTGCCGTGTTGTCCAGGCTGATCTTGAATTCCTGGGCTCAAAGGATCCTCCTGCCTTGGTCTCCCAAAGTGCTGGGATTATAGGTGTAAACTGCCCTGCCTGGCCCTTTCCTGTTTTATGAAACCTTAGTGAGGTAGGCTGGAAGTTTCATCACATCCATTTGACAGATGAGGACATTGAGGGCTCAAGGACAAGGTCACCTTCTAAGGTGCAAGAGGCCAGCTAGCCCTGGTCTCCTGCTCTGGGAATCTCACCCATCTGATGCAGGGCTTCCGTAAAACCTTAGCTGTAAATCCCAGCCCCCATCACTCTTGGTGTTAGCTGTATTTCAGTGTTCTTAAGAACTCGGCCATGCAGCCTGGCTAACCTACACCACAGGTCAAATAAACAGATGTCAAGGTGCATGTGTGTCCTGCACAATGGACTGTGTGCTCTGTGCACTAAAAGGTAAGTGTCTGGGGTGGGGGCTGGGCGCGGTGGCTCACGCCTGTAATCCCAGCACTTTGGGAGGCTGAGGAGGGAGGATCACCTGAAATCAAGAGTTCGAGACCAGTCTGGCCAACATGGCAAAACCCTATCTCTACTAAACACACAAAGAATAGCCGGCTGTAAAGGTGCATCTATAGTTCCAGCTCTTTGGGAGGCTGAGGCAGGAGAATTGCTTGAACCCAGGAGGTGGAGGTTGTAGTGAGCTGAGATTCCACCATTGTATTTCAGCAGGCTGTGTGTTAAGTGTTTGGGTTTGCAGAGTCCAAGACAGTGAGGAGTGGAGTGGGGAGGAAGAACTCTAAATTTCTTGCCCTATTTGCCCCCATCAAATTCCTCAATATGGTCAACGTTGTTTCTAAAACCTGTCCTGGGATTGCGGGAAGGGAGGCCACCCATTTGTCCCTTCCTGAAGCTTCTGGGCTTCCAGACCCAGCTACTTTGTGGGAATCCAGCAACCCAGGTATCTCTGAGTCTCTGCCCAAGACCGGATGCCCGCCAGAAGTGTCCGGGAGCCCAGTCTTGCCCATATAACACACTCTACCCATCCCTTGGGTGCGCACCCAGATCCACTCCCCTCTTGGGCTCCGGGCCCCCGGGGCAGCCCCCATGACCCGCACGCGCGCCAGTAGCAGTCCCGCTCCCGCCCCGGCGAGCCTCGACCCAGGCGTCCTGCCCCCTGCTCTGACCCCGGGTGGCCCCTACCCTGGCGACCCCTCACGCACACAGCTTCTCCCCCACCCCCACCCGCGCACGCACACATGCAGATAACAGCCCCGACCCCCAGCCGGAGCCGCAGAGTCCCTGGGCCACCCCGGCCGCTTGCAGCGCTGCGCCGCACTGAGCCGTGCTCCCGGAGCCGGACCGGGGCCACCGCTCCCGCTCTGCTCCAACCCCGCGCCCACTGGACAGCCGCCCTCTCCTCCAGGCCCGTAGGGCTGGCCCTGCCCCGCCGAGCTTCCCGGGATGAGGGCTCCCGGTGTGGTCGTCGGGCGCACCTCAGGTTGCTGAGGGACCCCGGCCGGGCGCAGAGATGGGGGTGCGCGGTGAGTACTCGCGGGCTGTGCGCTCCCGCCCTCCCGGTTCCTGTTTGAGCGGGGATTTAGCGCCGGGGCTATTGGCCGGGAGGTGGCCGGGTTCAAGGACCAGCGACTTGTCAAGGACCCCGGAGGTGGAAAGGGGGTGGGACAGCCTCCACGTGCCAGTGAGGACTTGGGGGAGTCTCTGGGGATGGCAAAAACCTGACCTGTGACGGGGACAAAGTTTGGGGGTTGAGGGGAAGAAAGTTTGGGGGTTCTGCTGTGCTGGTGGGCGGGGAGGAAGCTGACAAGCGATAACCTGGGCTCTGGAGCCACCACGGAACTGCCAGAGGGGAAGCCTCTGTCACACCAGGATTGAAGTTTGGCCGGAGAAGTGGATGCTGGTAGCTGGGGGTGGGGTGTGCGCACGGCAGCGGGATTGACTGGAGGCCAGGCAGGCAGTACCCGAGTGCTTGCGAGGTTGGGGACAGGAAAGATGAGCTTGGTCAGAGGCGACGGGGGTGAAGGAAGCTGTCCTCCCACGGCCACCGTTCTCCTCCCTCCCCACCTGACTCTCAGCCTGACTCTGTCTTCTAGAATGTCCTGCCTGGCTTTGGCTTCTCCTGTCCCTGCTGTGGCTCCCTCTGGGCCTCCCAGTCCTGGGCGCCCCCCTACACCTCATCTGTGACAGCGGAGTCCTGGAGCGGTATGTCTTGGAGGGCAAGGAGGCCGAGAATGTCACGGTGAGACCCCTTTCCCAGCACACACCACAGAACTCATGCTCAAGGCCAAGGGGGCTCCTCCCAGATCCAGGAACCTGGCACTTGGTTTGGGGTAGAGGTGGGAAGGTAGACACTGCACCTCTACATAAAAATAAGGCCGGTGGCCCTCAAACCATATCTGGAAACTAGGCAAAGAGCAAAGCCAGGGGGTCCTACCGCCTGTGGGCCAGGGGACAAAGCCCTCGGGGACCCTTGACTCCCCAGTTGTGTGCATTTCAGATGGGCTGTGCCGAAGGCTGCAGCTTGAATGAGAATATCACCGTCCCAGACACCAAAGTCAACTTCTATGCCTGGAAGAAGATGGAGGTGATTAAACTTTCTTTTGGGGAATCTCATTTTGGGAGCCTGATAGGATGGAAGCAAGAAAGATCCAGGGAGAGGTAAATGGAGCAGCAGAGATGAGGCTGCCTGGGTGCGGAGGCTATGCCCGTAATCCCAGGACTTTGGGAGGCCAAGACAGGAGGATTGCTTAAGCCATGGAGTTCCAGACCAGCCTGGGCAGCGCAGTGAGATCCCCCATCTCTGTACAGACATTTTAAAAAATTAGTCAGGTGAGGTGGTGCATGGCGGTAGTCCCAGATACTCAGGAAGCTGAGGCGAGAGGATCACTTGAACCCAGGAATTCGAGGCTGCAGTGAGCTGTGATTGCACCACTGCACTCTAGCCTCAGTGACAGAGTGAGACCCTGTCTTGAAAAAAAGAAAGGTGGGCCGGGCGCGGTGGCTCAAGCCTGTAATCCCAGCACTTTGGGAGGCTGAGGCGGGTGGATCACGAGGTCAAGAGATCGAGACCATCCTGGTCAACATGGTGAAACCCCGTCTCTACTACAAATACAAAAATTCAGCTGGGCATGGTGGCGTGTGCCTGTAATCCCAGCTACTCAGGAGGCTGAGGCAGGAGAATTGCCTGAATCCAGGAGGCGGAGGTTGCGGTGAGCCGAGATCGCGCCATTGCACTCCAGCCTGGGTAACAAGAGTGAAACTCCGTCTCAAAAAAAAAAAAAAAAAAAGAAAGGTATGAGGACTGTATGGAATACATTTATTCATTCACTCATTCATTCATTCAACAAACCTTATTGCATATCTGCTGTTTGCTCAGCTTGGTGCTTGGGGCTGCTGAGGGGCAGGAGGGAGAGGGTGGCATGGGCCACTGACCCCAGAGTCCCTTTCCCCTAGTTCGAGCAGCAGGCTGTAGACGTCTGGCAGGGTTTGACCCTGCTCTCAGAAGCTGTCCTTCGGGGCCGGGCCCTGTTGGCCAACTCCTCCCAGCCAAGGGAGCCCCTGCAGCTGCACATGGATAGAGCTGTCAGTGGCCTTCGCAGCCTCACCACTCTGCTTCGGGCGCTGGGAGCCCAGGTGAGTAGGAGCGGACACTTCGCTTGCCCTTTCTGTAAGAAGGGGAAAAGGGTCTTGCTAAGGAGCACAGAAACTGCCCCATCCCTTCCCGTCTGTGCCACTGCAGTGACCTCCTGTTTTCTCCTTGGCAGAAGGAAGCCACCTCCCCTCCAGATACAGCCCCCTCGGCTGTTCCACTCCAAACAATCACTGCTGACACTTTCAGAAAACTCTTCCAAGTCTACTCCAATTTTATCCGGGGAAAGCTGAAGCTGTACACAGGAGAGGCCTGCAGAACAGGGGACAGGTGACCAGGTGCATCCAGCTGGACACATCCACCACCTCCCTCACCAACATCGCCCATGCCACACCCTCCCCCGCCACTCCTAACCCCCATCAAGGGGCTCTCAGCTCAGCGCCAGCCTGTCCCACGGACACTCCAGTGCCAGCGATGACATCTCAGAGGCCGGAGGAACTGTCCAGAGCACAACTCTGAAATCTAAGGATGTCACAGGGCCAGCTTGAGGGCCCAGAGCAGGAAGCATTTAGAGAGCAACTTTAAACTCAGGGACAGAGCCATGCTGGGGAGATGACTGTGCTCACTGGGTGCCCTGCAAAATTTGATGCCAGGACACGCTTTGGAGGCAATTTACCTGTTTTTGCGCCTGCCATCATTGATGGGATGGCCTGGAGAATTTAGGTGGCAAGGTGTGACTTTTCCAGGTCTCACGGGCACTCCCTTGGCGACAAGAGCCGCCTGGACACTGGGGTGGTGGGAACCGTGAAGATGGGATGGGGGCTGGGCTCTGGCTCTCATGGGGTCCATGTTTTGTGTATTCCTCAATCTCATTAGCAAGAACTGAAACCACCGATATGTCTCTTGGCTTTTCTGTGTTCCTGGGACCCTCCAGATCCCCTGACTCTGCCCCACTCTTGGCAGCAGTGCAGCAGGTCCGGGAAACGAGGGGTGGAGGGGGTTGGGCCCTACGTGCTGCCTCACACAGCCTGTCTGACCTCTTGACCCTGCCGGGCCTGAGGCCACAAGCTCTGCCCACGCTGGTCAATAAGGTGTCTCCATTCAAGGCCTTACCGCAGTACGGCAGCTGCCAACCCTGCCCAGGGCAAGCCTGCAGTGTGCCGAGATTGCCATCAAGGAGAGGGAGCCCAGAGGACGGGCCCCACCGGGGGCTTTGGGAGCTGGTAGCAGCTGCCATCCCTGGTGACTGGGTCCTTGTTAATTTCTGCCTCTTCTTTGGTCTCTTTGGCTGATGCCACACTCCCAGCATCAGCCTCCCGCCTCAATACGCATTGCCTCTAAGTCCAGCTGCCTCCTTTACTCACCTGGGTACTGTCACCATGAATACTCTCCTCTGAAATTCACAAAAGGGGCAGTAGACACAGGTGAAGTTGGAGCCAGCTAATAGGCAGCATCTGCTCAGGGACAAGTGGCACTCTCGGTGGTTCACTTATATATTCTTGGGTTTTTTTTTTGAGGCAAAGTCTTGTTCTGTCTTCCAGGCTGCAGTGCAGTGGCGCAATCTCAGCTCACTGCAACCTCTGCCTCCCGGGTTCAAGCAATTCACCTGCCTCAGCCTCCCAAGTAGCTAGGACTACAGGTGCACGCCACCATGACGGGATAATTTCTTGTATTTTAGTAGAGGCAGAGTTTTGGGCTGGTCACGAACTCCTGAGCTCAGGCAATCTGCCAGCCTTGGCCTCCCAAAGTGCTGGAATTACAGGTGTCAGTCACCACGCCCGGCCGGATTTGTTTTGTTTTGTTTTTAGAGACAAAGTCTTGCTCTGTTGCCCAAATTGGAGTGCAGTGGTGCACTCATGGCTCAGTGCAGCCTCGAACTCCTGGGCTCAAGTGATCCTCCTGTCCCAGCCTCCCGAGTAGACGTGACTATAGGCACACATCACCATGCCCTGCTAATTTTTTAGTTATTTTGCTGTTTTTAGAGATGGGGTTTTGCTATGTTGCCCAGGTTTATCTCAAACTCCTGGGCTCAAGTGATCCTCCTAAGCCTCCCAAAGTGCTGGGATTACAGGTGTGAGCCATTGCACTTGGTTTATTCCCTCTACCTAATCCCTACCTGCTCCCTTGCTCCCTGGGGTGGGCGCCATGGAACAAATGAACTCTACTTCCACTCTTGATTTCTCCTTCTCATTTTCTGCTTTACTCTGACCGCAACTTCAGATTCCTTCTCAGAAATAATGCTTCAGCTGGAAAGCACCACCCAGGAGGGACCTGTGCAGACAGCAAAGGCTGTCATAAAACTGTATGGGAGGCCAGCCGTGGTGGCTCAAACCTGTAATCCCAGCACTTTGGGAGGCCGAGGCAGGTGGATCACCTGCGGTCAGGAGTTTGAGACCAGCCTGGCCAACGTGGTGAAACCCCACATCTACTAAAAATACAAAAAATTAGCCTGGTGTGGTGGTGGGTGCCTGTAATCCCAGCTATTCTGGAGGCTGAGGCAGGAGAATCACTGAACCCGGGAGGCAGAGGTTGTATCGAGCCGAAGTCGTGCCACTGCACTCCAGCCTGGGCGACAAGAGCAAAACTCCGTCTCAATCACACACACACACACACACACACACACACACACACACACACACACAC